AGACAACAGCGCCATCATCAGATTTAAAATTTACACAAACTCATAATTGGTAAATATTAACGTTCTTTTCGGTCTTTGCCCTCTTGAAACCTTAAATTTGTCTGACTTAAGACTTTCTTAGACTTGACTTAACTTTCACAAAGTTGAACATTTTATAAAGAATATAATTTTTCGAAAAAAGCTTCGTTTTCGAGAAAAAGAATTGAAAATCGGGGAAAATCCCAAGGGTTAAAATTTTGAGAAGAAAAAAAAATTTTACAAAGTGTTTTGTGCCACGGCAAATTATATGGACAAGTACATGACAGAAACCATACTTTTATAAGAACTGAAGGCTCAAATTTTCATGAAACAGTCACAAATAGAAGAGACAATAAAACTCTAGAAATCCTGACTTTTGCCTTTAAAATCAATATGATTCTTTTCATTTTTCCGTTAGTCTCATTTTTAAATTTCTGTTACTGTTCTCAGGCAAATCATGTATTTCCTCTTATATGAAAAAACAAAAACCAGTTTTGCAGAAAAAAACAGGATTTTTCATAGTTCAAAATTTGTTTTGCACTGTTGAATTTTGGGCTTAGGCCACTTTGCCGCTCACCATTAGGAAGCGCTAACAATTTTCAAAGCTCAAATACCTTGATCACTTATCGGTGATGCAAAAGCACTCAAAGGACTTCTTATTCCAGGAGGGGGCTAAAACGTATCATTTATCAAATGTTTTCCTACTGCAAACAGCTGCACTTACCGATCCCTCAATCTGATCAAAGTGTTCATCTAAAAGGGGAAATGCGTTATTAGTTATACATAATAGACAGCTGAGATCACAAGCCAACACACCAACTCTCGCGAAAATATCATCTTCAAAGCTTCGTTCAGCTTCAGCAATAATTTCTTGCGCCTGCGGCGACCCTTGCCGAAGAAGCTGCTCTTGTCGCTCGGCGGCTCTTTGTATCATTTCACGCCTGTAAACTGAATTTTTCGTTGTTTTTCAAAAGTTTATTTGGGTTTTTCTCCCGCTTACTGTGCTCTCCTTCAGAAGGACCAGCCAGTTGGCGTCGAGCTGCCGCAGGATCTTCAATGTATTCGTCCGGCTGCTGCTGGATCAGCCCTTGGGGCACTAAATTCCGATTACTCCATACAGCTTACAAGTGGACAAATAGCTTTTCGCTACTTACACAAGCCAAATGAACCTTCCTCATCTGAACTTGGGTATCCTGAGGCAGGAGAGAACCGTTCTGTGAAATAAATTGTTTTAATTAAGTAGCTTCCACAGTGCGTTTGTCGCTAGTTACCAGGCATGGCAGGCGATGGACTCTGAAGCATGCTGAAAACAACCGAAAAGGCTTTAGGGGCTGAGAGAAAAACTGGTGATCACTTCACTGACTTTTCATACATTGCAAACTCCTCATCTTCGGTCAACCGAGGGGGAGTTTGGAAGAATTCTGGCGCCGCAACCGAGTCCAGATTGGCATCAACGCCCCCATACTGGAGAGCAAATCGTTCCCGCTCTACAAATAAATATTTACTTGCTGCTTCACTTTCCTCCCGGAGATTCCTGTAGATGCTACCTTTGGCTCCCGGGCTCATCCTCTTTAACATCCTGCAAACAATCCCAGTTAACTACAATCGATTTAAAAACGGAAAAATTGCGAGTAGGTACATTTCAAATTCCTCCTGCTCGGACAAGGGCGGCGGAGATTCATTGAGGAAGCAGGGCGACATTTGGTCGAGACCTGCATTTGCTCCTGCGAATTGCTGGGCGAATTCATCATACTGGGCATCTGTTAAATGAGTGCATAATGTTACCCCCACTCAATTGAGTGCAAACGTTGCGGTTTTACCTGGAGTGCGAAGCGCTGCCTCCTGCTGACGAGCTCTCTCTTAAAAATCAAGTTCAATAACAAATCTCCCTGGAAGGCGCAAGTATGCTTACCTCGCACCCTATTGGCCGCTCCAGGCGAAAAAGCGGGCCCCTGGGAGCGGGCAGGACATTCTCCTGCCTCGCGCTCAAATTGCCGTTCCAGCATCTCAAAGTCATCCTCCTCCTCTCCATGGTGGCGCCCTGTAAAGACGTTAAAATAACCAGATTCCCAGCGCAAAGTACCTGACTACTTGGACTTTGCAGCATCCGCTCCTGCTGCTGCGCCCTCACTACAATAGAAAAACGAACATCAACTGCTTTAGATGACTTGCAGGCTTTACTCACGATGAACTCGTTGTGCAGCTCCTGGCGAGAAGGCTGGATGCTCTCGACGTTGAGTCTCACCAGCTTCCGCGGCAAATTGCCGCTCTAGTTGCTCAAATTCATCAAATTCCCCCGGCTAAGAAAAAGATCTCATAGTATAGTGAGCAGTTTTGCTCGTGTAGGAAACCGCATACTGATTCGTGTTGATCCACTAATTTCCTGGCCTTTTTGTAGACTTTGTCTAAATGAAGGTCTTTCTCACAAGGGGCGGACTCTTTCCCGTGCTTCCTCTTCTTACGCGGTTCCCCAGTGGGTTTTCTCGGCGGTTGCAGAGGAGATTGCCTGCATGGAGTGTTTCCAAGTGTTGAACGAAAATTGAGGGCCTGCCACTACCTGTGAGCGAGCAAATTGTCGCTTTCATCGGCAAAGGCCTTTTCTGGCGCGTTCACTCGCTTGGGGCTGGGACTGCGGTGAGGAGTTGTCACAGGAATGCCTCTGGATAGCGCTGGAGACGACTCCCTCACTTCCTCAGCCTCTTTTAACCCAATCAGAGCCTGCTCAAGGTCTAAAGGATTCAAAGCTTGAGAGACTGTTGACTCCAAAGAGTTCCTGAGTACTTTCAATTTCGTCATCAACTTGTTCAATTAGGAACTCGTCCTCCTCCAGTCCCTGATCGTAGACGCTCTTTGCAGCAGCCAGTTCCGCCTCTGCTTCTAGGATTAGGGCGTCGTAGTCTAGCTCTTGGTAGCCCTGAAAAATCGAGTATAGTGGAGTGCAACTGCTGCAGACATTTTCACCTCCAGGTCGAACTGGACATTATCAAAGCTGCCCGAAGGGGCGGCTTCAATTTGCTCAAGTTCATCGTCAATGTTTTCCGACCAGTCGGCAAATTCTTCTGAAAAGTTGGCCGATGGAGTCCCCACACTGCCTTTTCCTGCAAGCAGCTGCAGTTGGAGCACGATTAAGGACCGATGGTTCTGGTACTTGCCTGGGCTTTCCCTCATCCCCGTTACGGGGATTTTTGGAGTCTTGATGCTCTTGGGCGTCTGAATACGAGAGCGGTCGCCCAGCCTGCTGGGGGGCGTTTTGGACTTATCCATTCTTCCATGCTTGAACTCCTCGATCACTTGGATCATGTCTTTGGCCTTTGATGCAGTGGTTTCCATGGCCTCATGCGGCTCCTCCTCATCTTCGGCCTCGGCCAGAATTTCTTTCAGTTGTTCCTCCAACGCCTTGCTGGCCTTGGACGGTTCTTCAATGTGTCCAATATCAGTGCGCTCTTTGACTTCTAAGAGGTTGGTGCCCCAAGTAGGGGTAATTCTGTCGTCGCTTGTGCGACGCACTTCGCCGATTGGGTGACTTGGAGGCGAAGTCCCCATCTTCTTTGGGCGCCGCTTTTTTCGCTCTGGGGGCTTTTCTTCGTCTTTCTTTCTGCATTCGGGTTCCGGGCTTTCGGCGCCACTTTCCTCCACTTCTGGAGCGGAGGAGGTTGACTTGGGCGCACACACACATTTGGGCGCCACTTCGGAGGCGACAGCATCACTGGTGTCAATTTCACTCCTGATACCTAAGTTGGGAGTGGAAGTGGAGTAGTTGGAGTAGAGAAGTAGAGAGTAGAGAAGGCGGCGCCCAGACCTTTAGGGAACACTGCCAATTCGGATCTTTGCCACTTATTCACAGGCTGTTTGGACAAGGCGTAGAAAGCGTGAACGCCAAAGTTGGGAATATCCTGCGCGGCCACATATTCCCTCAAGTCTGCAGAACAATCGGTGGTGAAGGCTGGGAGAGCTTCCATGTCTCCCATGATTTCCATCCGAATGGCTTCTCTGCGTTGCAGCCTTTCCTCTTCGAGCAAATTCCTCGCAAACTCATTGAGCTGAAAACATTGATAGCAACATGAAGCAAGTGGAAATCGTGGAGGTTTCATTGGAAATTTACATCGATATCGGCAGGGAGATCTTCTAGAAAGTCATAATTGGAGGGATCATCAGAGAAGATTCCTGTCAGCCTCCGCCGCTGCAGGCAGAAGAGGAGTAACTTCAAGTAAGTGGTGCGAAGCTGTTCGTTCCCCATTTCCTCGTTTTTGAATTTTTTTATCCATGCTGCCGACAGTATTCGGTCTGGGAAGTAGAGAGAAAGTTTGGTTTTTATGGAAGAATATTGGAAAGCAGTTGGCATCTCCTTGACATGAAGATTAAGAAAAAATAGTGCTGGTTTGTAAATGTACGCAAACATTTTTAGAAACACATTTAGGAATGTTTTCCGGGCTTTGAAGCCGTGGTTTATGGCAATTTCTTCCTGACGTTTCGTCCACAACTGCGGTGGACATTATCAAAGGCGATGAGGCAGTGGGCGAAGTAATCTCCCTCTCCTCGAAGATTTTTTAGTCAAAGAATACATTGGTTGGCTTGCGCTTG